GATGTCCAGGCACTTCGTTTGGTTGGATCTGCTCACCTGGGTCGGAACAATAGGACTCCAAGGCACGCACGGGCACTCCACGACTCCACGTCTGCTAACACCGATTCTGTGAAGTCTGTGACGACGATTGCGACGCCGTGTGGCGGGCGGTGGTGAGCCATTCCAATCGATGGGACAACTCCTCCGAAACGATGGAAGCCCCAGAAACCACTTGGGTTGAGCAAGCAGCTGTTCCGCGAGTTCGCGGGAAACGGAAAACAATCACACAAAACAACCAACGTCATCTGGAAATCACATGAAATCACTGTTTCCGGTGCGGTGGGGGCGTTGCTGGGGCCTAAAGAGGACACAAATCCCCCATCAAGAGCTTATAACATCTTATAAAGAACTTTCTATGTTTTGCAAGGTTTCAAACTGGGCAACATGGTGAACCAATTGCAGAAACCTTGACCTCGGAAGCTGCAGATCTGGCAACTCCAAAGCGTCTCCTTTTCGTCAGTTCGGTCGCTACTCCGAGGGCCCCTGACCTGTGCTGCAAGTTCCTTTTTTTCGAAGCAATCCAGTCTTTGGGCCACTTCTTGGCTGGCGGAAAATCGGAAAAACTTGATCTGGACAAGTAGTTTGTGCAGAGTCAGATGCCGAGCTTGTCTTGGCCTGGCGCTCTTTTTGCGTGTTCATCAAGACGTCAAAGGCACATATGACACGGTCGACAGCCCTCACTAGCCTGGGCCCTGATTTCTTATCTCTTTCATGCTGCATGGGTAACCTTTGTTAGTAACCTGTATTGGCCACTCACCACCCCCTGGGTGGAGATATTGCACTGAAACAATGGCAAACCAACCACAGTGACAGCCAAACGTTCTTAACGACCATTTCCGGTGCATTGCTTTATTTACGATTCTGGGAGGCTGAGACTGGAAGTGTATGAGTGTATGGACATCTCAAGGATACCGCATTTAAAGGGGAAAGACATGTACATGCTTCCGCCTATCGACCCTATCCCCTACCATGCTCTTCATCCATATCCATCAGCCCTGTTCCCGGTTCCCGTGGTGTTGCTGAGTCTTGTTAAATGGAGACAGGCCAATGTGTCGATGTGTCATCGTGCCTATCCCCAAGAAGACGGGGTGGAAAAAACAAATCTTGACCCGTAGCCTTCCAAGACCAGCAGGTTTACTATGCAAATCTATTGAAGACCATTTTTGTCTCTAAACGAACTCAGCCGCCTCTGCCTCTCCCCCGAACAGTACAGTAAGTGAACGTCCGGGGGAATTTTCTTGAAAGATATTGACACTCACCGTTCAATGCAGTAGATATGTATAAATATATATATATATGGGCTGTCTACACCAGGCGAGCTTGCGCGGGGCTTCTTTCCTCCCCCCGAAGCTGTAGATGAACACCAGCCCCTCCCGCCTCCGTGCACATAAATAAGTAAAGCGATACGTCCGATGGGCCACTATCGGACAGCGTTGTTCCCCGCGTTGTCGATTGGGGTGCCATCTACGAAGTAGCCCACCTGCAGCTGGGAGCCAAGAGTTGGCATGCAGTAAGTTGAGCTTGACCCCCCTGGAAAGTATAGAATATCATATATAGAACCATGCGGACTTCATTTGCATGGGAACTTGGTCATTGGTGAACAAACTGCCGCCTATTTGGTGTCACGGTCCACAACCGGCATCAAAAACGCCCTCATTAGCACAAACGGTGACCTTTGCGATCCCCCAGCATTTCCACTGAAGCCTCTCCACCGGTGGAGCACATCGAAGATCCTAATCAAAGGAGTACCCAAGTCGGCCGACCCCTGACCGGAGAAGCAAGGGGTGTCCAACATACCTGGACTAGCAAGGGGTTGGGGAGCTACCATGGTCGCTCCGGAGGGTGGGGAACTACCATGGTCGCTCCGGAGGATGCCCCTGTTGAATGGGGATGTATGGATACTCCCTGCTCCGAAACTAGCTCCAGATGGCTCCCTCCTGAGCACCAGCTAGTTGACTGGACCTGTACAATCTTTGCGTGTACAAGCACGGTCAAACATGTTGCCAACGATGCCAACATCATCGAAACCGCTCCAAATTCGAAGGCATGGCTGTGAAGAAGCTGGTTTTATTTGACATCTCAGCAAATCGAGGCCTTTGGTCAGCTGGAAGTCACCTGGTTAACACCTGGAGCCCGACCAGTCCACCATGTAGCGTAGCGAAAAGCCTCCCAGGTAGGTCAACCGGTCGGTCTGGTGCCATGACCCATTGACTTCACATCAAAGTATATATCGAAGTTACCTTAGATTCCTTAGATTTTCAAATTATACCAAATTGTTGACCCACCAATTAAAGTCTTTCCCCTTAAGATGATATGAGTGCCATCCATCCACAGTCTTCCATCAGTTGAGTCTTCATACAGTTCGAACGTCTTCTTACGCTACACGGACCCTTCACGGCGTCCGAGTCCCGACTCCGGTTCCTCGGATCCCACCGAGCCCGAGGCCTCTGCTGCGTACGCCGACTCCGGTAGCGCACTTCCCGGCGCATGTGGGTCGGGCGGGATGTTCTCGGGATGGTTGATCGCGTTGCCCGCCTGAGGCGGAAGCAGCTGGAGGAACTGGAGGAGTGCGTGGTATTGCCTGGGGTCGCCTCATGGTATGGTGAGAGGGGTTCTAATCAACAACCGGTGACACCATACTGGCCAGGAGAATGCACCGGGGTCACCAGCAGACTCTCTCTTTCTCTCTACCCCCAGCGATGGAGAGAGAGGGGGAGGCATTGGGCCATTGGTGACTACTCTGCAAATTTCGGGATCTGGGCACCCTTCGGGAACCCTATTGAGCAGTGGTCTTCCGATGGGAGTCTGTCTCAATATATCTCAATATGAAATGCTTCTTCCATAAACATCATTTGTCATGACAAGCCTAACCTACCAGGCCGGCCTGGCTTGTGTCTGTGTTCGGGTTTGAGGCGCACCCATGTCCACAGGCTCAACCTCGTTGCAAAGATTTCTCAATCTTAATCCCTAGGATTCAAACAACCATTGTTTTAATGGTCTTTACCAAAGAACCATTGTTTTACTAAGGATTTTTACACTACACCACCAGCTCAACCGTTCTTTTAATGGTCTTGGAAGGCTAGGGGAGTACATTCCTTGTGCCCACCCGGAACATTCAGGGGCACCTGGGGACACTATGGGGCACGACAACTTCCATCTTGATGACCGAGCACTTGCAAGCCCGCAATCACAGGTATCTATATAAAGAGTCAATCTCCACAGGAGCGTAAACTTTATGTTGAGATCCTTTGAGCAACTCATTCAGTCTCATCCAGTGCATACAGCTACGAGCAAAGACACATACGGCCCACCGATCGACTCACCCCATGTTAGGTCTCTGGGCAGGCTATTGTCTTCCACCTTCGCCACGTTCAACCGCCAGGAGCGAACATGTTTTTGGCCCACCTTGTTGAGGGGCGTCCCATCTGGCAAGTAGCCCACCTTGATTCCAGCGTGCTGGGCGCTAAGATCAGCTGACAAGCCGAGCATATCTGGACCATTCCAACTGAGGAAAGCAGGTGTACTGTGGCCAACGATTGCTAGTTTGCACAACGTTCTTCGGCGCTGTGAATACTTAGCAGAGTGACATGGACTGGTGAATACTTAGCGGCATGTGGCAGACTGAGAGAATCCCGTTTTTTGGCCCGGTGGCCTTGGAAGCAGTAAATTCAGTTAAGGTTGATTAAGTGGTGAGTTCCTGTGAGAAATGGAAAAGCTCAGTTACACGATTTCCGGCATGATTCAGCGCCCCAGTGACGGGAATCACACTCAGCACCCGAGTGGGACGGCTGAGCGAAACACACTCTGACACTGGTTTTCAGTTACACTCAGTTCCCACGTTGAGAAGGAAGGCGATGGAACAGCATGGTGACAGGTCCAAAGACTTGAAGGTGTTTTAACATTGAGGTTTCTCATCTGCAGTGGTGCGACGACGACGCGCGCGAGCGGCGAGGGAAAGGGTTTAGGGGAAGTAGCATGAACCACCATGGAAACAAACAAAGAAAGAGTGGAGCGACAGCATGTACAACAGTTCGGCAGGTACGTTTGCAGCCCCCCCCCAGTGGCCTCTTCGTTGGCCATCCGCCACTGGGGAGGGGGATGGCCCCCTGCCTTGTTAAGTGGTGGTAATGGAAACGGTGGCATTGGACCCTTTGGTACAGGGGGTGACACACACACAATCACTTTGAGCGAGTGGTTTTATGGCCATCCGCAATCAATTTGATGGTTGGGATGTCAAGGGCGTAAACCTAAGAGGATATTGTATTCAAGGTTTTACCCCCTGCACAGGAACATGGGCGGTGAACTTGAAAGACTATTCTTATCCTTTCTTATCTACCACCCTGTTGTTTTCACTGCCCATCTCAATCTGGGAGAGTACTTCTCCTACTACGCCCTCTTCCAGAGACCCAGCCCTGGAACCTGGAAACCACGTGTGGTTGGGGGTGTCGGAAAACACTCGACCACCGACCTGGTCCCCATGGTCCATGTGGTTTGCAGGTTCCATGTGGGTCTCCAACCCCCCCGGGGCGTATCGTGGCTCCGTGTGGCTCCCGCGAACGAACGGAGCGCTTCGAGGAGCGCACACCGCTGTCCGGGGGGAGCATGGCCGGAACTCCAAGCTGCGACCGGAAGAGATGGCTGGGTGCACATCGAGAATCATGCACCAAACACCAAGACGAGAGGGACGGCTTTTTTTGGCCCTCCTGGCCTCCTGGGCATAAATGAAGATGGTTTTTTTTCTCAGTTTGCTCAAGTTGCCGGACATCAAGGGCTTAAGGGTCGCGTTCCATTTGTGTGTGTGCTCCTGCTGTTCCCTTGCCCTTCTTGCAAGCAGGGTGATGACTCAACAGAACTGACTGGATCCCAATCGAAGCAACTCGGCAGTGAATGGGTGCAAACATTAGTGCCTCTCATCCAATGCTCATGGTCCATGGTCCATGGTTGTTTGAAAGAAGGTGGATTCAGACCACTTCAACCTCCAAGAAACTACCACACCTCCAAGAAAACCACTTCATCCCCCCTTTCTCACCACTTTCAGAAAAAGAACAACGACTCAGCTCCCACGAACCACCTCCCCCCACTCCCGGCCCAGCGACGTCATTCACAAAGTTCGCTCTGGGCAGCGGTGCCCCCGGGCTATGCGGATCGGGTCCAATGGTCTCGGGGTGGTTCATGGCGTTGCCCGCCGAGTGCATCGGAGTTCCGTCGGGCAGGTAGCCCACGTCATTCCTGGTGGGGCTGGAGTCGGACGGGTGATGTGGGGCGTTTCGAGACATGCGTGTTGGGATGGGTGTGGCCGCTTTTCGGCACCAATGTGGGCGAGGTTGACACATGATTCGGGACACTTTAGGCGCGGGGCGCATGATTTGGTGATGAACCAAACCAGCATTTAGTTTAAACATGACATATCATGAAACGTATCCCAATCCTCTCCAAAACTTACACTGCTTTGATCTGCTTCGGGCTCTTGGTAGTACATCATGTCTTCCTTCAACAGGACTCTCCAAGTTCTCACCCATGGCCTTGCGCTTTCTCGCATGCTTGCGCAAGGTCCGTACGGAATCCCACTGACTCCCATCCGTTGGGAGACGACGACCCAACCGACCGATACGACGGATTGGCCAAGGATCCCAAACTCCAAATCTGCAAAGGCATCTCGATTGTAGGAATAGCCTAACCATCGGACTGGTCGAGAACAAAAAGGCACAAAAAACAACTTCGATATGTGAATTGGTATTTTTGTGTGTGCATCTGTGTGTTAATAGCATGGTTTTGTCTTTCAACAATGACATGTAAATACATGTGACATGTCCTATATAACATGCTGTGTAATGATGTAAACAATATTTTTCATATAGTGCTGCGCATGAACATGTTGTGGGTTGTTTCTGGCTTGCTCTTCCTGGTAGGATGCCAATGGGAGTCCTACAGTACCCGGTCCTAAGGCATGTCACCTGCACATGGCAACACCCAAAATGTCAAGAGGTAACCATTCCAGTCACTGAGATGCAGAAACGTTCCGTTGTTGTGAGCTGAGGCCTATGACCTTCATGTTCTTTTCTATGTGAGAGATGTTCAAGTCAAGTGTCCACTGCAATTAGCTCCTGTCATTGTGCTTGTCGGGTAGCGGAGGATTGGGCCTGATGAGGGCACAATTCAGCCTGATCCGGAATGTTCAAGATGATGGACGGTTGATTTTTCCATGATTTTTCACGCGGCTCGTATGCTTCTGATTGAACACCCAACGTAGCTCCATTCGTGAAAACACACGGAATAGATTCTGAGTACCCTAGGGCCCTAGGGCTACCTCGAAAGGTACTGGTTGGATCCTCCCAGAACCTCAGAAAACAAGGTACGACTGGAGCGCTAGGGGCAAGGATGACTGGTGCAAATCTGGGTGGGGCTGTGGCCCAAACTCATCCAAATTCATCAAAGTTGAAGGCTCAAAGGCCGTCATGCGAGTGCTGCTTTGATTAGTTTCCCGTTCGGAACCATGTTAACCGATCAGTGGAGGTGACACGCTGCTTTCGGTGCCTTGGGGGGTCCAAGAGCCACTGGGAGGGAGTGCCTGCTGCACACAGAGTTTGGACCCATGGCCAGTGCTGGGGACCATACATGTCAATTTTCAGAGGTGAACGATCACATCCAAAATGATAACCCCCCCAAGACCCATTCTTACAACGAACCGAACCAAGCGGTGAAGGCCCACTAACGAACCAAGCGGGAAGTGTTAAGGAGATCCACAGGATGCAAATGGGATGTTCGGTTCCTGCTGCATCCGAGTCGCTGAACCCCGAGTTATGCCTCACAGCACCAGAGGCACTTGACTTCGATGATCCCACAGACACGCCCATCTGGCAAAGCGGCGTGTTGACAGACCGTTTTTCCATAGACGGATGTTTGTAAGTTCCAGCCACTTAAGAGCTTCTCATAGCTTTTCCATGAGGCTTTTAAATCTGTTAAGACAAACTCGTGTAAACCAAATCCATGTAAAGATATTTGTTCAAGAAACATGCTGGAAGAGGGACCGTGCCCCCGTTCCCATTTCAGCTGCAAACAGCTCTTTGGTCATGAACAGTCGTAGTCCCACTGGTCTGCAAGGAATCTCGCCCCGTCATCTCTTACACCTGGATGTTCAGTTGGGTGTGAAGCTCGAATAGGAAGGACCCTATGTTTCACCCTCAGCATGAAAATAAAACAACACCCCTTGGCCTATTATGCATATAGAGACGCAACCCTACATCAGGTGGATGAGTACACAATCCGTGTAGGAAAATGTCACCGATCATACTTGTCCGGCACAACCAAGTAACTGTGCACTGGGTAGCTGCCCATGGTCGGTACACACAAAGCCCTTTTCATTTCAGCATCTTGATCGAATCGGTTGCTGCATCTGTGACATACCCATTACAAGGCAAAGACGCTATCTTTTGGTGGTCACGCGATAGGAGCACAAACCAATTTCCAGCCACATGCCTTCTGCAGGATCAGGTCATCTGTGCGGAAGTCAGGGTCCTTCTTGTGGAACCCCCGCGCCAAGTAATCTTGCTCCTCGAAAGAGCTTGGTCCAAATCATGGAAATTCGGAGCAATACGACCGACTAGCTATAACATTGCTATAACGGCTCTAACCGGGTGGTTCCCTGGTGGAACTGGAACTGGCATGGGGGGTGGGATAGCTCCATGCCAGGGGAGGTCACTTCAGGTGTGAAGTTAACTCTGCACATTCATGATTGCCCAGGTCCTGAAGAAAAACAAAAACTAATCGATCTCAGTCGAGAGGCATATGAGCTTCGGAGGCCATTCAGCCTCAACTTCCCAGACAGGCTGGGAGATGCTTGAAACATTAATCATCATTACTCCCCCGCAAACTCACATAGAACCTGAGAATTGACCGGTGGTGGAAGACCATTTTCCGAATACCAACCCGACCGTGGTGAACTGGGGTTCCATGTGGTCCGAATCGCAGGGAAGTCAGGCCTTTGAGGCCCAAAGAATCGCATCTGACTTCTCGTGCTTCGTGTCGTATGATACAAGGGCCCGGTGGCTCGTTTTCGGAGATCAACCCAAGGGCTCAGAATGTGTGTGTGTGTGTGTGTGTTTTTTTCAGGTTAAGACTGTTTTGAAGTTCCAAGTGGTATGCAAAGGAAGGACAAAAACATCAATAGTGCCCCAAATATATCCTATCATATCCTATCTGAGAACCCGACAGTTTTTGAAAGGTGATCTGATCTAGACTAGTGGACTATCTGCCGAGGTCCCAAATCGGCCCCCCCAAAGCTCCAAATCGCTGGGTCTTGGAACAAGCGAAAAGCCCCAAATCAGAACGCAACATGAATCCTGAAAACCCACTGGGCGGGTGTCCTCCAGGAACCGAAGAAACATCTTGATCCCCAAATAGCGATAGCTATAGGGCTACTTACTTCCCACTGACTAGGTGCCGGCGCTTTTGTCCCAGGTGCTTTTGTGTTTAGAGTTAATTGCTAGGGTCTATGCCGGCCGGTGTTTCTTTCTTTACGAATCGATTCTAAGAGTCCATGACGCTCGCGTCCCAGAAAGGGGGCACAAATCCGGGTGTTTCGCCCGTCACACCGGCTCAGTGAGTGCTCAACTCGACGCCCCTCTCAGTGATGAGGAACGACCCGAGGTGCTCACACTTGCTGAAAGGATGCAAAGTAATTTTCAATGTGTTCAATATGGTTCAAATGACCCCAACAAGTCGCAGGAAGACCCCTTAAAACCTTTTCGCAATGGCATGGCGGGAATTATTTTCACAGGAGCATGTTCTAAACCCCTAGGCAATCAATGGATAAGTATCAAGGGTATAAAGTTAATTCAAGTTATAGTACCATTGCATATTGGATAGCTGTTTGAACGCAATCCCCCTGAACTTGAACTTTGCTTCTGCAGCTCAGGCTCATATTATACTTCGGCTTCCAGCTTGGAATGTGGCGCTTTGCCTGCAAGCAGGACCTTTTCAAACCCTTTGCCATGACTTGAAAATGATTGGGGATCAAGGGTCCGGCCCTTGAGGACATGGAAAGCCAGAAGTCGTCTCTAAATTGGAATCATGTATCACAACCGGCATTATTCTGGTGTTGGAACACCTTCCACTTCAAGTGTTGCCCTTGTTCCTTCCCCAAAGCCAAGTCAAACTCCAAACCAACCGACCACCGCATCACCTCCCCCTGGCGCTTTGAGCACAACAACCCACACTCACGGGTAACGCCGCGTCGGCGCGTCTCCGCGGGCGCCTTTTCGATCGAGGCGAAGAAGTGCATGCCGCGGAAGGGGAAGGCCTTCGGATAGCCTTCCGGCACCTGGTCCAGGTCTCGAACAAATGAACTGATCAGTCCCAAAAGCGGACCCGAAGCAACTGCTATATGGAACCACCGGTCGGCCCGAGCACTGGGAACGGGTCAAAACCTCTCCCGTTTTGAAGAGCTGTGTTAAACCGGGCGTCCTGAAGGGCCAAACTGGGGGACGACCAAGGTGGAATCCTGACCCGAACCAGCCAGGAATCTGACCAAGGTAGACCAGGTGGGGGACGACCAAGGTGGAACGCTTTGGTCAAATCTGGCAGATGTCGATGTCTGAGACGTGAAAAAACACGGAAGACGGAGCTCGACTCGCAGCGGTCCGCGAGCTCAAGCCGAAAGCCGTCCGCGACCCGCTCCCGGACCCGAGAGCGAGTTGGTGTCCATGTGTCTTGGATCGAAGGTCTGACCAAGCCTAGACACTCTCAGGTGGTGTATGTAGAGGACCAATTGAGAGTTGATCAGTGTAGTTGATCAGTGTGTTTATCTAGTTCCTTCCCGAAGAGCCCTTTAAGGGCGAAAGCTCGAAGTAGTGCCAAAAGTGTGGCGCCGGGCTGGCTTGATAGACCCCTAGTAACTCAGTTGAACTACGGCCAAAACCTTGAAACAACTTTGATTCAACAGCTGGATGGATGTGCTCCTCATTAAACTACACCATGGCATATAAATGTGAACAATATGTAAAACATGTTTAACCATCCACTTACATCCATTTACAGTATGTTTCAGTAGTTTTTGGGTGGTCGTAGCTCACTCAAGTTTGGTGACGCCATGTTCGCAAACACGACTCCCCCCCATGCCGACCTCGCCATGCCGAAGAAAACCCCCCATGCCTCAATGCTCTTCGGGTCGTAGTGCACGATCTTTGGGTCCGTGATTCCAGCAGCCTCCGCGCACACCTTGGCCATGCCATCGAAGGTCACATACTCCTCCGACGCGACGCGGAAGGGTGAAGGAATGGTGAAGCTCTTCCAGCAGCCAACACTGCGAAGTATGGTAGCGGAGCGCTGGACCAATAAGGGGGATAAGGGGGAAGTTGCGACTCCATCCCACTCCTGCACATAAAAGTAAACTTTGGAAATCTTTGGAGCAAGGATTCTTGTGAGGCCTCAGCCTCTGTATGTGGAATATATGGCAACCATTCACTTTCCCATGACCCATGTCCCGTGACCCATGTCCTGACTGGACACGTTGTAGACTTGCCCGTTCACGGCCTCAGGCACACGATGAACTCGGCACCAAACAGACCTATACCGGCGATAAGCGCACCGAGTCGCAGTCGGTGTTGCACTTCGAGTTGGAGTTCCACATGTTTCGCATCGCATGGTTCTCAGATGTTCTCAGCAAATGGTCCGGAGTCTTTGGTTCATCATGTTCATCCATTCGTACATCTTCGTGCCCTCCGGGTTGGTCCGCCTTTGAATATTAAATTCTCGGTGACATGGTGCCCAAAAATCAGAGATGCCAGTCAGCCGACCCCCTCAAGTCATTCGTATATATGCATGCATGATAAGGATCTCTGCACTTTTGGATTCCATGCGCAGCTCCTGTCACGTTCATAGTCCCTCGAGTTCAACTCAGTTCCAAAGTGCGTCGGCGTCTCAACTAAGTGTCATCTCTTCTTTCATCTTCTTTCTATAGCTATAGTGGCATGGGCAAGCCAAACATGAACCTATAGCTGAGCTAGCTGAGCAATGGCCCGGCCCCGAAAAAAACACCTTTTAACAATGGCCCGGTTCGTTTCGCTTCAGCACCCCCGTGCCCGGTCGACGTCTGGGGTGCGACGTAAGAGAGAGAACGTGCAGTGAGATGCAGTGAGTGCGGCGGTGGCAAGCCCTCTCATTTAGATGCCTACAACCCTCCCATATTATACCTGGGTATTTAGAGGGTCAAATCTCTTCATCATATGGAGAGATTTGACCAGCCAATGGGAAGTGTTCTTCATCAAGGGTCTACTGAAGTGGGTGGTTCCGGCCCAATCTGCCCAGCGACGCCGTTCCCCACGCACTTCACCATGAAATCCGCCAAGTCTTCGCAGTGTCCTGAGTGGTGTGCATCGCCCGTCTCCGCGCGGATCAGCGAGGGGGTCAGGCGGACTCCAAAAGGAAAGGGCTGAGAGTCAGAAGAGGTCACAAGGAAAAGGTCACAAGGCCTGATGATACAAGAAGAAAAGGCGCTGATGCACAAGGTCAGAAGGCTTTGGAGAAGGTAAAGAACAGTGAAAAGCGAGCTCAAGGAATTCGGTTCGGTTCGATGGTTTCCCTCCACTATTAAACACTCAATTGGAGCGAATCATGCACCTATCAAGTGCCCAAAGTTGGGACGTCTTCATGCACAGTAGACTCTCGATTCATCAACAAAAACTCCTTGCATGGAGATGTTAAAACCATTCCTGGCATATTCTGGCATAAATGTATATATCTACAACATTTTACACATATCATAGTATAATTAAACTATATATATATGCTATGCAATTGTATAGATGCTTAATCAATCTTATATAATCATATCATCTGTCTAGATCTGTCTAGTAGCCTCAGTCTCCATTTCACCCTCTCCGCTGCGATCCCGGCATCCCAATTGTGTGATGTACTTCCCACCATAGGGCACGCACACGGGTCGCCCCCGCGTCACGCGGTCAAAGAAGTAGCGCTCCACAGGATTGTAGTTGAGTGGCCCATAGATGTACACCTGCCAGGAGGGGCCCGACACGGGCCAAAGTTGGCTCCTATTATAGCTCCTTAGAGGTGATTCGGGGTATATCCATTAACCACCCCAAACGCCCGGTGGAGAGAAAGGGAGAGCTGAAACCAGTGCCCAGATCTGTAATTTGGCGATCAGAATTGTGTTCCCGGGGTGACATCGTTTCGGTTCGCAAAAGGATGCAAAAGGTATGTTGTGAATCGGAACATGGGTTGAAACTCATGGGAGCATCACATGGTCAATTCATCGGTGCTAGACATGCGGACGCAAAAGGAAACAATTTGCCAAATGGGAGTCGGAACTGCATGTCATCCTGCCCCTGAGTCACAGTCCGACAATGGTGCACATTGGTGCGCACAATCTCTGTATGATCGCCGGTTTTCACTGCTCCTGCTGAATCTAGCTCAGCCTTCTGCAACTGGGTGGAAGAAGTTTCCACTTGAGAAACAACATGCACGTTTGGATCGTTAGAAACGTGAAACTTAAAATTCCAGCAGCCAGCCACACTGGTGAGAATCTTGTGATACTCACCATCAGAAAGCCAATGACAGCAGCCGCACTGCTGAACACATAAACGTATACTGCCATTGCACTGAGCGCTCCCAAAACCACCCGTAGAGGTAGGTGCTCCACGTTGGATTTCACAGCTTGAAGCGCGCGCAACATAATGGGATGAATGCTGGGATATCCAAGAAAGCACTCGATGGCAAACCCCAAGAAGTTGCTGATGACATATGGCACGCTTGAAGCATACCCCTCATGCTTGGCAGACAGGGAGCAAGGCTGTCCCTCGCATCCCAGGGTAACTGCCAGCGCATCAAAAGTCAAAGGCAGGAATGAAACCACACAAAGCTTCCAGGGGATATCAACCTCACTTCCAATCGCATTAAGAAGTTTTTCGCGCATTGGACCTCGCACATATGCGTTGAATTGTTGCAAAACCTCCTCTTCACTGGGATAGCTCGTAATCGGTCGAATGGCACGCATGACTTCCTGCCAAACGCGGCATGCCATGTTTCCAAACCCGCACAGGGATCATCAAATCTCTGCCTTTCCCCCTCTTTATCTGCACTCCGACTCACCAACATCGAAGTGCAAAACCCCTGTTTGCAAAAGAACATGGTGTTCCAAAAGGCCAAGAAAAAACTTCCATCCGATGTGTTCGTCAGAGAGTATAATGTTCTTTCGTGTGTCGACTGTGTCGACGGTGTCGACCGGAACCCCTCAAAACGCCCTGTGTCAACACACCTCGTCAAAACCGGCTCCTGCGAGATGAGTGGTATGTCTGCCTCCGTCGGGCCCTCGTCGTCCACAACATCGATGGCCATCCGCACCGGCGGCTCAAATGCTTCATCGAAGAGTTCAACAATTTGTGACTCGATCAAAGCCCTGAGGTTGAAGGGCTAACCATCGATCGCTCGGTCTTTTGTTAAGAGACATCTACGTCAAATAAGAACCAAAATGGCGGTCCTCAAACTAACCGGAAACTGTAATTATCGAACTGATGCCTATGTCTCATGCCTCCTGTCTATAAAGCATGAATTTGGATGAATTTGGAGTTTGTCAAGAGTCCAATTGGAGGAACCAAACAAAGTCAGGAACACAAGTCAAATATCTTCAAACGCAATCTTGATAATCTTGTTAGTCAGTTCTAACTTACCTTCCGAAGTGTCCTGTGGCCATGACATTTCGCACGCTGCCCTGCCTGTCACTTTCCAACTTGCACTTGGCGTTGTGAAAGTCGAAGCTAGCCATACGATCCAACAAAGTGTTGTGAAATTGCAGTCGCCGATAGTGAACTACAAAGCTGCAAATCACGGAAAAGGCATATAGAATGCCTGGCGCAGTCCAAGCTTCAAGGGTTAGCAGGAAGAACCCCATTCGAGAATCCGTCTCAGATTTTGGAGGATCTACAGCTGCAGAGCCTGTTGGCATACACACTGTAAGTGCCAAAACGCCCAGAAAATCAACTGCAACAGTTGACAATATCCAAATGGGCAACCACAAAGGCATGAAGTGCATAGACTTTGGCCCTGGTGAACGTCGGGAAAAAATGGCAATTTCGTAGTTGCACCACAAGCGCTCCTGGCATGCAATCCAGACGTCCAGGATCAACCCATGTTCAGATGTTCGGTTTTGCTTTATCTTCCACGTCACGAATTGACAGTCCGAGGAGAAAGACATGAAACCAATTGGAGCTATCCCCACCCTGAAGCGACTTGGAAGAATGCGGGGCACATGGCGTTGACGGGTTAAGCCTGACGAGTGCGGACATGCAAATGTTTTGGTGCTTGTTCTGGCATCAAGTCTGGCTTGCTGGCGCTGGCGCGTCTATCACATCGTCTATCATAAAGGCTGGGAAATGTTCTGGGCATCCTTGTTGGCATGTGTTCTAGCAGTTTTCCTGCCAAGAAGTCTGACATGTGCTGTGACATGTGTTCCGCCATTGGTCCTTCTATCGAAGAATGTGTCTATCCTGCATATATGTTGGCAGTCTATCTGGCATTCTATGGGTCATAATACTTCTATCTGGCACACATTCCGTTTTGCATGTATTTGGCATATATTCTCAATTCTACCTAGCAAAAATTCTGTCATTCTATCTGGTGTCTGGCGGTGTCTGGCAAGCATTTTGGCATTCTATTTGGTAGTGTTTATGCTGGCATTCTATCTGGAATGTATTCTGACATTCTATCTGGCGGTTGAGGTCTGGCGGTGCCCACTGTGATCTAGCCCTTGCGGTTGACCAGGATCAGGAGGCGAAGAAGGAGGCGGAGGATGAGGAGGCATCTCAGAGAGGGACAGTACTGATAAATTCTAGCAACCCTCACCTGGCAGGTGGGGAACAAACAAACACACAAAAACTTAAAGGCAGCGAGGCGAGGTTCCAAATAATGTTCGTCAAGCAAAATAAGCATCTCATTTGAGTTCGCCACAAAGTACGGCAAAGCGTCAAGCGCTTTAGCCTTTAAATCCAAGTCTGCCTGATTCACACATATGCGATCAAACCAGAATGTCTTCCGACAAAGCTTGTGACCAAAGAAATACACCACGCAAAAGACGGCCATGGGGAAGTACACCAAAGCATACGTCAAAAAGTTGGTTCCCGCCATTGAAGCTGCCAATTCGGCCACACCACCAGCATGAATGAGCAAAATCAAAGCAGTGGACAGCCAAACCAAGAATGCTGAATTGGCTGCCATGTCAAAATTCAGAAACTGACACAACGCCAGGCATTTCATCCATGAAGGGCAATCCCAAGAGTGGCTGATAAACATGTCAACATGGTCCACATTTGGCAATGAGTTGTGCACCAGTTCGTCAGGCGCACCCTCCGTGCGTGGCCATGCCAAGTCCATCGACACCTGACAGAAAGATCACCCTCAAACAATGATCTATCTATTATACAGTGCCCACGTTCTTCCCTCCCCAAAGCCTTGTGGGTTTGTCTGGGCTCATGGGCAAAGTGGCAACCCTATCAGATTCTTCTGTGTTCTTCCCATCCACCAAAGAAAAAAAACATAAAAAAACGAACAGGAAACCTGCGAATCCAAGGCACTTGCCATGCGTTGGCGGCTTTGAAAAGACCATTGGCAACAGTTGCAGAGGCAGCCATCGAGAGGGCTGGAAGAATCGTCCAAGGTGGCTGAGAGATCTGAGAGGCTTTAGATGCAGCAAGTGAAAAGGCTGCGGAGGTTACACACTGGGAATTGCCTAAGAGTCGTTAGAATGAAAAGTGCACAAACAACCTCAAACCTCCTTTATGATCAATACATATCGAAATATAGAGTCATTAACCACTTCAGCCGAGCTATAGAATTCTAAGCTTGCTTGTGCTTGTGCTACGCAAGAAGAAACAGCAACAACATATAACAGTCAACAACAACAACAACAACAACAACAACAACAACAACAACAACAACA